GATTTTACAATCTTTCTAACTATAAGCATAAATAAATAACCTTTAGTAATAATTCAATGTAATTTGTCTTTAAGAAAATAAAACAGCATGTGTAAATACTGTAGAAAAATGATGGAAAGATGCAATCCTATTTTTGCATTTTCCAATTGTTTCCATTCCCTCTTTTCCAGGAAATCCAGGATGTGCAGGTGAGCGTCCAGACCCAGCAGCTGAAGATGGAGGTGGACAGCAGCGCCAGGCCTGATCTGACCGGTGCCCTGAGGGACATCAGGGCTCAGTACGAGACCATAGCCATGAAGAATATGCAAGAATCTGAAGAGTGGTACAAGTCCAAGGTGGGCAGTGAGACCGAAGTGCAGAAAATCAGACGGGAACAAAGAAGAAAATAAAAATGTTATTAATGACGCATTTTATTTTTTTGCTGCAGTTTGTTGACTTCACTGAGTCTGCAAAGCGCAACACTGATGCTCTGAGGCAGGCCAAGCAGGACGCCAATGAGTCACGAAGGCAAATCCAGTCTCTCAACTGTGAAATTGATGCACTGAAGAACACGGTGAGACCAAAGAACATCACCGCGGCTGTTATCCTCCTTGTTTGGTGAGACTATATCAAGTTTGTTTCTCTGCCGCTGCTGTCGTTTTCAGAACGAAGCTCTACTGAGGCAGATGCGTGACATGGAGGACCAGTTTGGCAACGAGATCGCCAACTACCAGGACAATATAGGCAGGCTGGAGGATGAGATCCGCCATCTGAAAGAGGAAATGGCTCGCCACCTCAGGGAGTACCAAGACCTCCTCAATGTGAAGATGGCTCTGGACATAGAGATTGCCACTTACCGTAAACTGCTGGAAGGGGAAGAGAGCAGGTGAGAGACAGTTTGTTATCTCTTGGTAAGTCTTGGTTTATCAACGTATGTTATTATCCCAGAGGAACCACACACTGTACTTGGCGCCTCCAAGAGGCAGCCTGCTGCAGCGCATCTGCGGTTAACACAGGAATTCCCCCAGTGTGGAATCAATAAAGTTCATAAAATAAAATAAAATATATTATTTTTATTGTGTAAACTGTTTGAATTCACTAGTAATTTTCTTTTACTATTTAAGACCTATCTCAAAATTTATAGCTACTGCTTTGGATTTCTCTTCTTTACAAAAAAATATTAGTGTATCACAATAATTAGTCTCTTAATCACTGCTCACACAGTCTCCAACAAAGTACTGTTCACTTTTTGCTGTCTATCCTGAAAATAGATTTAAAATTGTGTATAAATATACACATGTCTATTAATAACTTGTTAGCAACAACATTTCTTCCCCTTATGAAGGAATAAAATGCTTAAAAATAATGTTCCTGTTTTTAGGATTACTGTTCCCATCTTAAACATTGGCATGAGTAACCATTTTGGAGAGCGAGGTGAGTTCAAATATAAACCTACAACTGCCCAGGTTTATACACATACACTGTACATACATATGATTTATACATTTAATCTGACTTTTTACAGACTTTGAACACACCCCTGACAGTGGGACCAAAAGGACTGTGGTGATAAAGACAGTGGAGACCAGAGATGGAGAGGTGAAATGAGGCACAGACTCCAGTCCACTTTGCTGTTGTTGCAAGTTTGCTTGTGTGTTCATTTTGTCTCTCTCTCTCTTTTGTTGTCAGGTTGTGAAGGAATCTAAAAGGGAGACAGAAAGAGACTCTGGCCGCTCTGACAAAAGTGACAAGGACGACTAGAAGAAAGTGATGAGACGTGATGTGAAGGCCAGTGCCATGATAGAACGAATAAAACAAAAAATAGTCAAAATCCCATATATAATCCTTATTCATACTCGTTCTGTGTTTATCTGTCTCAGTAATGGTGCAATGTTAAATAAACCCCTTTAGACAGTCTCACCTTGGTGCTACCCGAGCCAAGTGTTTAACACACCCACTCCGTGCGTAGAGCGAAGCAAAACCCACTCTATTAACAAACCAACGAGGCCTTGATTTACAGTGCAATTCCGTTGAATGCTTAGAAAACCACACATTTGTAGCAGCGTGTGAAACTACAGGTATCTAGAGCAGAAACAAAGAGCTAAAAGTTGTTTTGTCTTAGTTAAAATGAGGTGATGAACCTTTAAACACTGCCCTTCAGTTAAAAAGAGACCAAATTCAGGCATTTTGTTTTATCGGCTTTGCAGTATCCTTATTATTGTGCAAACCGTTACAGCCGGAGTTCACTGACAAGCAACCAAATGCAAAGACCTGTGCTGAATGTGCTTAGCAATGTGTGTACCTGGCAAGACTGAAGGATCAATATGTACGTGCAAATAAAGCAAATTGGAGCAAAGAAATGTCGATGTTTTTATTTTTAGCTGACAACTCCAACGATTGCTAGTAGGTGGTATCTTCTCATTTCTGGTTAACAAAGTGTGACCAGTTCGACCAGGTGCTGGTGGGAAAAACATTTGTTAAGTTGGGTGAGATTATATACATAGTATTGGGATATAGATCAAGTATCAGATAGATCACTGGATGTACTTTATTGATCCCGAGCTGGGAAATGACGGGTTTTGAGTATTCAAATCAATTCTTACATAAAACCTTTGTGAAATATGAGCATATTATGAAAGACTGGACAATTCCATCTAAGTGTGTGAAAGACAAAACTGGGAGGGCTCTGCAGAGACAGTTGGCTTCAGCACGAGGACAAACTGATAATAAACACGTTCTGCCATCGTCTTCTCCAGTCTGCATCAGTGACAGCAATAAAGCTCACTGCAGAAAGCTTTATTGTGGGAGCAGTTAAGGCAAGATGTGTTCTTGATTGAAGAGCTACAGAGAAATACAGCAATTTATTTTGTCATGTTATAAAACAGAGAGAAAACAATATATATGTAACTTTTATATGAAAATCTCAAATCAGACAATCGAAAATAAAAATTAAATGCACAAATACAGTGATAAAAATAATGTGCAATTAAATCCACAAATACAGTGATAAAAATAATGTGCAACTATTAATATTTTTGTATTATTATTATTATTATTATTATTAATAATAATAATAATAATAATAATAATATCATCGTTAATAATAATAATAATAGGCGAAAACAGGCCCTTCAAACATGTTTTCGCCCTGAGTTGATCCTTTCAGGTTAAGCTTGGGTTTTAGTTTATGACTTAATATAAAACTACTAAAACTCTATACTAAGCGCTTCATAATATTAACTCATTATTTATATAGGCAGGAGTTGTGTTCTTTTAGCATAGTTGCAAAAAGTGATATGTGGAATACCAAACCGAGGGCGTCAAATGCCCGCGGAAGTGACGCCGTTACACATCCGCTGTGTTGTAGTGTTGGCGCGAGACTTGTGTGCTCTGTAAAATCTGTCGTAAACAGAGAAGACATCTTTACAAAACTTAAAACGTACTATAAACTTTATGTTTTTTTCTACACGGGGAGCTGTTGGATACAGAAACAACTGCGAATAACCAGGTTGGTCATTTATCCGTTTTCATTTTTATACGCTGGATACGATAATATAACCGCCGGAGGATATTTTTCAGTTGTCACTGAGATAAGAAGTGCAGTTTTTATTAATACCGTGTAGTTAAGCCAACTGTCTGTCGGTTTGTACAAAGACGTAATAGTAAAAATGTAATCTTGCAAATCACTGTTTTTGGCCAAACGCACTGTCACCAACACAGTCACATAAGGAAATCAAACCGTAGAAATGTGTATTATTATTTTCCTTCTGATCTTAGAGACACATTGTCGTTATTTCTATCTATATACCGCACTTGTAAAAGTGAATTTCTTGTCAATTTGATTTTCTCCTTCTGGTGGCTATTCAATGACTTGTTTAGGATGGATTGTGAACTTCTGGCCTCATGCAGTGCCCTGGGCTACCTGGAGGGGGACGTTTATCACAAGGAAATAGACTGTCTGGGTGAGTGATACTTGAGAAAAAAAAAAGTCATACAAATATATGTTAGGTAAAACCTTTAATTATATTTTCTTCCGTCAAATTACAGAGAGTGTTAAAGATCTGATCAGGTATCTGCGCCATGAAGATGACACTCGGGATGTTCGCCAGCAGCTGGGGGCCGCACAGATTGTACAGAATGACCTCCTCCCTATTGTTGTCCAACACAGCCAAGACAAACCCTTATTTGATGCCTCTGTCAGGTAAAATATTAGTAGTAAAATACAGTTTTGTTGTAATATTATTTGCACTGAATAAGGGAATTTTGTAAATATACCTTCTTGAAAAGTGTGCAAATTTTCACAGGCTTATGGTCAACCTCACTCAGCCTGCCATGCTGTGTTTTGGTAAAGTCCCTGACGACCCCGTGTTCAGGAATCACTTTCTGACTGTGACTGCACACCTACAGGCTTATAAAGAGGTCGTCCCTACTTTAACTGTCGTAGCCACATTTATTTTCCTGTGGACTTTACTGCAGAATAAATGTATCTGATGTGTTTTTGTTTTTGTCTCTCAGGCATTTGCCAGTGAAAGAGAGTTTGGCGTTCTTAGTGAAACACTTTACAACTTCCTGCAGCTGGTGAGTATTGCAGTACTGCAGTATTCACGATGGTTGCCTTCCACCTTTATCCACGTTTATCCTGTTGAGTTGTGTTTGATCACACGCTCCTCTGTCAGGACTGGGAGCAGAGGCAGGAGGAGGACAATCTGCTGATAGAGAGAATTCTGCTGCTGGTCCGGAATGTTCTTCATGTTTCTGCTGATCCCAATGAGGAGAAGGTCAGCACACGGAAACCATTATGTATGTTATTGTCTCTGTTTACCCCATAATTCCTTCTATTATTGTCTCTGTTGTTGTTCGTGCTCATTGTAGAAAGTAGATGACGACGCCAGCATCCATGACAGGCTGCTGTGGGCCATTCACATGAGCGGTTTTGATGACCTGGTCAAGTTCTTGGCCTCGGCACAGAGTGAGCAGCAGTGGAGCATGCATGTGCTGGAGATCATCTCCCTCATGTTCAGAGACCAGGTTAGATCATTTGCTGCTTTTAATGTGCACAGAGACACGTTCAAACCTGTTTTCTAAACCCATTTTTTCCCCCTTCAGACTCCAGAAGCTTGGTCAGTGCTGGTCAGGCCAGATCAATGGAAGAGAAGCACAAAGACTCTCAGGAGCTGGAGGCTCTGAAGCAAAGAGAACAGGCCGAGAAGCGTTTCCGCACTCTACAACGAGGAACCAGGTAAAACATTAGCCTTCGATGTTTAGTGACGATATTACGGCGAATATGAGTACCGTATTTTCCACTTTTGTCAAAATATGCGTCTTGAAGCGGAAAACGTGTCTTACACGCCCTTTTACATCAATTGAATAAAGAACGGTCATTTTTATTTTTATCTGGAAATACTTTTAATTTACCTATTAGCCAAAATAGCATAATACTATGTAGGAAGCTGAAGCGTCGTCTCTTCTTCTTCTGGGCTCTTCGTCGGAAACACCCATCAGCATCAGTACCAGTTTTCTGTCAGTTTCCTTTTTTCTGCTCCATTTCCGGTTTTGGCTAAATACATTCTAATCTCCCTTTTACGTTCAGCGTTGAAGCCTTATTTAGTCGCATTTTATTTGTATTATTTGTGAAACGTTCTATGTCTTCAAAGGAGTCGTTATCGTTTGGTCGTGTAACTTTTCCGGGGCGCTTGAGCAGCGTTCGGTGGTCAAGTATGTGGAGGGTGCCCTCTTGTGGCCATAGATGATATCGGCTAGTCACAAGACCAGCCAAACTAGTAAAATAGCATAACTTCTCGTCAGGAAAATATGTTAAATATACCTGGTTAGTGACTAGATGTTAACTGAATCTGCTCTTATTGACATGGAAGAGAAACGAGCTGGGGGAAATACATTATTAATCCTAATGCTAATGGATTTAACAATGTATAACATACATATATATATATGCATATAATTCTTATATTGTAATTTTCAGGCACTCTCGCTTTAGAGGGTCGTATGTTGTTCAAGGCCTGAAGTCTGTTGGAGAAAAAGATGTCATTTATCACAGAAATCTTCATAATGTAAGTCATGTGAAATACAGATGCAAACTTGACAATATGGAGTTTGTTTTTCTTTTCCTCTAATGTGTGTTTGTTTGTTTTTTTAGTTTAAAAATTACACTCATGACACAGGAAAAACAGTCAGACGTGTTCCCAAAAGGAATCGCACAGCCACGGAATGTCAGGAGAAACGGCGATCTGCGCTAAATGTGCGTCTCTTCCTTAGAGAGTTTTGTATGGACTTCCTGGAAAACTGCTACAACCACCTCATGTACCTGGTCAAGGTAAACCACATCTTCATGCACATATATATTTCTATATACTCTGTGATGTAGGTCTGTTGGTGTCAGCCAATCATCTGGACTGATGTCTCTGACAGGAAAGTCTGATCCGAGAGCAGGCTCAGCAGCACGATGAAACCTACTACCTCTGGGCTCTCAGCTTCTTCATGGCCTTCAATCGTGGCAACGGTTTTCGTGCTGACTTTGTTTCCGAGACTATGTCTATCCGTACGTTTCACTTCATCGAGCGCAATATCACCAACTACTATGAGATGTTACTCACGGACCGTAAAGAGGCTACATCCTGGTCTCGCAGGTAAAAAAAACAAACAACTCCAAAGTGACTTGTAATCTTATTTAATATCTTGTGCAGTTGACTCAGACAATGAAACTGCTATTCTTTTTAGTGACTTGATACACATCACACTTAGTGACTAGACTTGGGAATTGTGTGAAAATTGTCCAGTTGGTGAAATGACCAGTACCAATCTTTTTTTTTTTCTCCAGGATGCACTTGGCTTTAAAGGCTTATCAAGAGTTGCTGCTAACGATCAATGAGATGGACCAGTCCAAGGATGAAAGTATTCGCCAGAGTTCTGTTGTTATTAAAAGTAGGATGCAGTTCTGATGTCTTACAAACTTTCATTTGTTCTCATTTTCATGCAGATTTCACTCATTTTCTTTTTTCAGTTTTGCTACTTTAACAGTACTCAGTTGTGTTTATCAGTTTTGCTACTTTACTTTAACAGTACTCAGTTGTGTTTATTATGATTCTCTAGGCAACATATTTTACCTGATGGAATACAGGGAGATTTTCCTAACCCTGCTGAGGAAGTTTGATGAAACACAACAGCCTCGCTCTTACCTCAAAGACCTGGTAGAGTCAACACATCTCTTCCTGCGAATGCTGGAACGGTTCTCTAAAGGTCGCAAAAACCTGATGGTTCAGGTAAAATTCTTCAGTTCGCAGCTTTGAGGCTCACATGTGCAGGTTCCCCAGTATGTTGTGCTCTTAACACGTTTCTAATGTCTCTTCTGTACAGAGAAAAAAAGTCAAGCGTAGGAAGTCACGGGGGAAGAAAAATCCAGCTGTAGAGGCGAGTCCAGAGACTCTGCTGGAGGCGTGGAAGATTGTGGAGGAAGAGCTGAAGACTTCAGGTTTCCAGGTCTGTGTCAGCTCTGAACCTGGAGGCAAACTAAACAAAAAATTATTAGATTAGTCATGATTAATCTATAGCTACCCTGTGATTTATCAAATTAAAAATTTAAATTCAAATTTAAATTTATTTGTCACCACTGATGTCGGTCTCTGTTGCAGTTGACAGAGTCTTTAACTGAAAGCATCGTGCCGTTCGACGCCACTTCTGAAACTCCCCTGGAGGAGCAGCGCACAGACGCCATGGTGAGAATCAAGGATGCACTGCTGGCTCGTCTGGGTCCAGAAGCTCTGGCGCTGCTGCGTGCTGCCAGGTCAGTTAGACTCCGTTTTATATGTTTAAAACTGATGGTCTTTTTTTTCTCCCGGGTGCTAGGGTTTTGGTTCAAATCTGATTATCATTTATTTTATTTGAACTGTAATCTCCTTCAACTAGTCTGACGTTGGTGTTTTTTTTGTAATACTCAGAGAAGTGTGGCCAGAGGACGACGTGTTTGGTTCAGCCGATGTGGAGCCTGAGGATGAACTGGAGCTTCTTAAACAGATACTCCACGCTGACCTCCCAAGTATGTTTTACATTTAAATTTTGTCTATTTAAACTTGGATAAAACGTAAGGCTTTTTTAGATTTAGTTCGGCCAATATTATCTGCTCTATATTGGCATAATTAACTCCGGTCATGAAAATCCGATAACACAATTCCTGGGTTTCACTAAATTTGCTGGAATATGATTTGGAATTTTGGAATCCTGAGACGTTTACCTCAGTTTTGGGGGCAAACGGCTACATATATCGGCAAAAAGTCTATATCAAACGTTCCTAATTTTAACTGATATATCACTGGGTACAATGCAAGAAAATGTTGTTTTTGTCAGATGGTTTACCCGAATAACTCACGCTTTGCACAACGACATGTATGACAAATTCAAACATCACCTTTGACCTTTAGGGTCTTCTGCTCCTGAGCCTGTGGCAGAAGAGGAAGACGATGGGGCCGAGTTGGAGGAAGAAGAGCTGGAGCCTGTGCAAGTTTCAGAAACAGAGTTTAACTTTTTAGATTTCATTAAGAGGTGAGCCAAATCTGCTGAAGTCAAATTGTCCCTGGCTGTTGAACATATGATCAGTGATCAGGACGAGAGAGGTCACAGAGAGGTCATCGCCTCTGGTCTCACCTTCTTCCCAGGTTTGCCAGCCCGAACATCGTTCGTCCGTACCTCATCCTCCTAAAATCCTACTCGAAAAACCCGCCCCACACCAACCACTGCATCGCTCGGATGCTGCACCGCCTGGCTGTTGACCTCAAGATGGACGCCTTACTTTATCAACTGTCGGTCTTTAATGTTTTCAACAAAATCCTGAGTGATCCTGCCGCAGCTGCGTACAAGGTACAGTAAGACGAGCGGGGAAAGAATTAATTCAGGAATTTGAAGGTGAAATAGAAAACCATCTTTTCTCTGGTTTCTCTCCGTCTCTCAGGAACTGGTCACCTTCACCAAGTATGTAATGAACCGATTCTTCTCAGTGGCAGCGAAAAACAACAAGGCCTTTGTTGAGCTGCTGTTCTGGAAAAACGTTAGCGCCGTGCGGGAAATGACAGAGGGATACAGCAAAGATGGGTCTGTTTTTTTTTCTCTCTCTTCTTCCATATTTTCATCCGTTTGTTAAGTGGTAAAAAAACGTTTTTTAAATACATGACATCTTCTCTTGGTGTCAGAGAGGAGAAAAAACCAGCCTGGACCGAGGAGGAGGAGGAGGAGCTGCGTAGACTTTATGAGGAGCACCGACACTCTGATGGTAAACTTGAACTTCTTGTTTGTTCCACTGTGATGTTGTTTTGATCCTACCCATGATCCCGCTGTGTTCTCTCCTGGCTTTACAGTTCCAGATGTTGTGGAAACCGTGCTGACTCTGCTCAGCAACACCGAGCGAACCCGGCGGCAGGTGGTCACTCAGCTCGTGCGCATGGGTCTGGTGGAAAACACCAAGGAGCTGAAGAAACAAAAGTACGTTCTCCACGACCAGGGATGAATAAATGTCGTGACGATTTTCTTGCACCGTGGTTTCCATTAACAGAAGTTTTTTTTTATTATTATTTATTTTTAAGGAAAGGAACTCAGATTATACTGTGGACAGAGGAACAAGAGATGGAGCTGGAGATTCTCTTTGAGGAGTTCAAGGACTCAGATGGTAAATGAGAAAAAAGATCCAAAGAAAACATTAAGATAATTCACATGCAAACAATATTCCAGCCTAACTGAGAAATACTGAAGTATAATCTTCCAAGTTTTTGCTCCATTATACAGGCATGGAATACCATCTCTGATTGTTGGGATCAATTTGAATTCCATGTTTGTTGAAGTTCTAAAAGTTATTTTTCTTGCATTTTATTGAAATCCTCCCTTTTTTCTTTTTTTTAAAAATTCTTACAAATGCAGTTAAAACTCTATTCTGCTTTCTGGCCATGTATTTCTATTATATTTTATTTTATTACTTTATTATATACATATTAAATTATTAATTAGTTTATAATATGGCATAAAGCATTCCTGGCTCAACAGAACCCAAATTTGCACCCTATTTCGATACCCCAAACGTTTAGGTTCAAATTTGCACCCAATTTCGATACCCCAAACGTTTAGGTTCAGTGTGGTTTTATCATGTAGTGGTCAGCACGCCTGAGAAGACAAGAGTCCTGGGTTCAATTCCTAATGGAACCACCTACTCCAAGTAGACATCGGTGCTTAAACTTCATCTCACTCTCAGATGTCCTGGGAAACATCCTGAAGAAGCTGACGGCCAAACGATCTCGTGCACGTGTGGTGGACAAGCTGCTGAGTCTGGGCCTGGTGTCGGAGAGAAGACAGCTGCACAAGAAGAGAGGGCGCGCTGCTCAACAGAAGAGTACAGGACGAGGAGTGGTAGAGTTTTCTTTTATTTACTGTATAAATGTGCTGAGGCGTCAAACTCAGTAAATAAATAAATGTTGAGTTTAGCCCACGACTTCATCTCACTTTTTAATTTTGGCCCGACTGTGAAATGGAGTCTGACACCCGTGGTCATCCAATCTATCAACAGGCCGAAGAAGACTTCCTGGCCCGACTCACCCAAGAATTCCCAGATGATTCTATGGACAGAGATGATGTGGAGGATGTAGAAGATGAGTCTGATGAGAGTGAGGAAGAGGAAGAGCAAAGGAGGGGAAAGGCAAAACAAAATGGCACGAGGAGGAGCCGAGGCACAAACTCCCCGGTGGAGAGGAGAACGGATGTCGTCTCCACGGTGAAGGCTCTGCAACAGAAAGGTGAGGTAGAATATGTTGTATCTGTAGAAGGTGAAATCTGAAATACTGAATGTGATTATGGTCTCGATGTAACAGGCATGTCAGGGCCGCTGCTGTGGCTGCAGAGTTGTCTCAACAGAACAGCGGACGACCGACAGCATGATGGTGAATTTAACTCTCACATCTCAGTCTTTCACTGTATGGACGTGTGTGTGTGTTTAAAATCATTGCCTGGTTCTCTAGATTTGTCCTTTCCTGTGCCGCTGGTCCCTCTGACTGAGGCCAATGAGGACGCCATGGAGAACAGGAGTTTCCACAGGCTGCTGCGCAAACTGGGTTTACGTCCCCCTGCAAACGAACAGGTGTGTGTCTGTGTGTCGTATAATCCTATAATATTTATTATATATATTTAATTTTTTAAAAATGTGGGTTTCTAAATCAGGAAAGTTTCTGGAGAATCCCAGAAAAGCTCAGTGTGTCACAGCTCCGGAGCGCAGCTGCAGCTCTGAGTCCAAGAGAGGAAGAAACAGAGGGTGTGGAGGAGGAACATGAGCCCAAGAGTCCAGAGGAAAACCTCCATAAGAACAGGGAGGAAGAGGAGGAGGAGGAGGAGGAGGAGGAGACTTCAGGTAAACACATGGCTCAAGCTCTCACAGCTCTGCTACTCGCTCTCAAAACAAAACACAGCAGCGAGCGCCCAGGTATGTGTGGGAATGACCCAGCCGCTGCCTCCTCGTGTCAGATGTCACCAGTTAATTACAGCTTTCCTCACCATTCAACTCTCCAGTTACACAGAGCACATAAATACTGCCTGGAGAATCTGAAGGAAATAATTTGGTCTAAATGTGGTACTTGTTTCTTTAAAAGTTTAATTGACAATTTCCCTGCAAATAATTTTTCCGTAGTTTCTATAAAATAATTTTGGTTATTTAACAAAAAAATGGTGAATTAATTTGATGCTTGTTGGCTTTTTTTAAAACTTTTTTTAAGTTCCTGTGTTGGATTTAACTGCTGAAGATGCAGAAAGTTCAACTAAAAGGTGAGGAGTTTTTGGTTTGGGCCAAATCACAGTTAAAAAAAATATTGTTTTTTTTATTTAAATGATCCTAAAACTTGACCTGTTTTTGTACACACTAGATCTCAGGAGAAGACTTCAACTAAGAGAAGCAGAGTGTTGGATGATGATGATGATGATGAAGAAGAAGAGAAAGGTTTTTATTACTTATGTTAAACCTCAAAATAATCCTCTGATAATGAAGTGTGTGCATTTTTTATAGTCCATCTCAGCTTTATTACTTATGTTAAACCTCAAAATTGTGTGCATTTTTTATAGTCCATCTCGGAGGTCACTTGTTGTCACTTGTTGCATTTTCTGAAATGCATTATAAGAGTCAGAACAGATTGACTTCTGACTTCTCTTTCACACAGCTGTTTACTGTGTTACTGTGTTCACAGAGAACGACTCCTCCACGGCAATGGACCTGGAAGCCAAGGGTGACGCAAACTCAGATGAGGACGACGTCTCTGCTCCTGTGAAGCGCAGACGGAAGATGGCTCTAATTGATGAAGATGAGGATTAGCGATTTTTTAATGGACTACTGTATATAAGCTGAGCACACAGGAAACAGTGACGTTTCTCACTTTGCCCTGTCTCCATGAATCTTAGACAATAGAAATCCTGTTAGTGTCAAATACCAAGGACTCTTGGAATTCACCTATGAATGCAATGACCATAATACTCTGTTGTGTCTTCTGTGAGTGTTTTGTTGTGGTACCTCTGTCTGGCTTTTTCCAAGTTATTCTTTCTTATATTTAAAAAATAGTCATAGAAAAATAAGTAATTCTATTTCAGAAGAAAACAAGTTTTTATTAAAAAAAATACCTGTTTTCATGTTTCTGAGTGAAATTCCTCTTTGCTTATAAATAAAAAAATCACTTGTCAAAGTCGTTGTGTTGATTACTGTACGTACAGTAATGCTACCAACATGCAGTGCACAATTGTATCCACAAGAGGGCAGTGGATCACAAATCCGAACAGCTCATCCGGTCAGAATATAGTGTTAACACAGTGTTAGTAACGGGAATTACTTTTTAACATAAATGTATCCGTTTTCATTTGAAGAGTGTCGGCGGCGGGAATCTTTAATCGTCAAATTTGTTTTTAAAAAATGTACACGGACAAAAGTCTCCTGGTGGCGCTCTCCTCAGCACACCTCCTCTCTGTAGTGACTTCCTGCAGTCGTCCACATTTCCCAGCTGTTTCTGTGGTGGTCTACGTCCTCACATCTGGACCACGTTAGGAACTTCCTGTCACTGCATCTGCTCTGCCCCCATCCCACTGAGCCAGAGGCCGGGCTGACAGTGTACAGATACCGCTGAGAGCGACACACATATGTGTACGACGGTGGGCGGAAGCTCAGAGGTTAAAGGTGCTGTTTCCTCTGTCTCCATCAGTTTAAGGCTAAACTAGTTTTTTTTTCTGTCTACAAGACCGGCTGTGTTACGTTGAAGTGTAACGTTATAAATAAAACCTGTCACACTCTGATCTTAGTGCTGCGAGGCAGGGGATTCATAACATTTTCTGGCAGCGCCCCAAATAAAATTTTTTACAGTAGTGCCACCCACATCACACTATTGCTTCAAAACACCACTGAGCATGATAACTGAGAATTAAGTTACAAAAATAAGGGGAATGGTACCGCCACGGGATAGCATTAGCTTAGCACTGAAGACTCTTCAAAGCATTTTTTGCTGCTTCGTTTTTTTTTTCTGATGTTTCGAAAAATTCAAACACCAAATGAAAGGTATTATACTTTACAGTATTGTTTCCCAAAGACTGGGTCGCAACGCTCAGGTGGGTCGCAAGAGTTTTTGTTTTTTTTTAAGGTCGTCTCGCATCATGTTTCCCAGGAGTGTCTATTGGCTCTGACGGTGGAGCGGTACCTTATCTCAGAACTGTTTAAAAAACTGATAAAAACACCTCAACCTGTTTGCAACCTTATGCAAATAAGGTCAAAGTCATAATAGCTGAGCTACACTTGAAATTTCTCACGCCGCTCTCCACCACATGTAATTATTCTGTAACGTCTACACAGACAGAAGAGAGCCCTCCCCGGCCTGGGGGGGTTGTTTTGTATAGGTGTGAGGAACCGATGCATTAAGTGGTTAAACTGTTCCAAACCCTCAGTAAATAGAAGCTCGTCGTCTATTGTCAACTTAAAAAAAAAGAAGCCCCAGAGGTTTAGTCATAACACATGACATATTCTGTCCTCAAATTGACCCTGATGTTCATCCAAACAGACAGGGTTTCAGTTGAGAAGAAACTCATTTGAATCTTTAATTTCCAATGAGAAAAAAACATTTTGAATGTAAACATTTTGAAGCAGCAAATGCAGAAAATCTCACAAAAGTGTGTCTACTTGAGTGATGAACTCAGACGAGGGCATTTACTTGAGAAAATCTCTACCCACACAAAAGTGATGAACTCAGACGAGGGCATTTACTTACTTGAGTGATGAACTCAGACGAAGGCATTTACTTCAGCACTGGTTCTGCTGCTGTGGATTACTGTAAAAGTTACTTTATAACCCTGGGGTAGATTCAGGGGTAAACGTACCTGTCAGTTCAGTTTCAGAGAAGTGGAAAATGTACTCTTATTTCTGTCACATGACTTGTATAGACCTGCGTGTTGCAACAAGAGGCGTTCGTTAGTCGTTGACATTTCAGGTGGTTAGAAAAGCCCCTGATTTCGAGATGGTGTTTAGTCTGTGTTTGTTTGTGTTTACTGATTATACTGAGGAAGAGGAGGAGCGCTCTTGTTGGCTTTTTTAGTAAAACAAAAAAAAAATACTGACTATGGAGGAAGGCACAGAAATTCTAGCATTTTCCACATTTTAAGTGTTTCATTCTTGGTACAATAGCCAAACTCTTTCCGATTGCGAAATGTTCCTGGAAAATATGTGTTCACATAGTTCCACTAAATCACAGAGTGACTTCAAGGATCCACAGGACACACCCAGGTTATAGTCTATAATGTAGACTGTTTCATGATCTGCTCAGTCAAGCCAAATGTGACACAGAACAGAATTCATCCAATGGTCTCCGTGTGCCATTAACAGCCTGACAGTAAAGAACAGAGAACAGATGGAGGACGAGTTGTTGATCTGTTCCACATTTGTTATGAATAAATAAGTTCATGTTGCTGGCGCTCGGCTCGCAGCCTCCTCCGTCTCCTCCGTCTCCTCTTCCATTTTCGTCCTCTATGCCCTGTGGAGGGAAGCGAAGCAGCACTAGCACAAACAGCTGGAGCTCATTTCTGCAGAAAGTCCCTGCACGTTGTGCAATGTCCTGTGTCACCACTGGGGGCAGTAATTTCAAAGTAACTTACACTGTAGTTCTTTTGCAAAATATGTTATATTTATTATACATTTTCTAATTTCTTGAAACGTTACATACATATTTAAATGAAAGTTAATTAAAAATATAAAAATTCCAAAATTGATATTGTTTTAGAATTCAATATTTCTATTAAACCCAATGACGTTTGTCCCGAAAATTGACTTAAAAACATACTCTTACAAAATGAACTAATGACTGTCATATCAGGGCATTGAACCTTCAACCTTTTGTTTTAAAAAGCCAGAAAATATTATAAATATAATTGGTGACTGTAGTAGTATTATATGAGGCCAACTCCTGAGGTCAGGCGTGTCGTGACCCCACTGCAGGGAGCGCTCCCACAGAGCAGAACAACTAAGGTTATTCATGACATGCATATTAAGGCACCCCACCCCTGGTGGGGTCGGGGGGGGGGTGACTAGTACCTCTATTAGTGGGACCATCATTACCCAGAGATCCCTGATACCTGGAGTCTGCTCTGGCTTCTCTGGTGTATCTCTGAAACAAAACAGAAGACAATCCTGACTTTACCCCCAGAGACGAGGGCAAAACAGCAACCAGCAACCTGGACATGTTCCCAAGAAACAACTGCACGCCCCCCAGAGAGAATCAGCAGTCAGTCGTTATGAGGAGACCAGACAGAAAGTCTAAGCCCGGGTTGAAACACATACCCCCCCTCANAGTCAACATCAAATTCCTCTGAGTTCATATTAGGTCCAATATCTGAACCAGTACTTGGACTCTGTCCCGAATACAGACTAACAGATACCTGGATAAATATAACAACTTTACCAAAGGTCCATTTCAGACAGTTCTGATCAACATTTTTGTATGTTATTTTAATGTATTATTAGTCAATTTGTATGAAGACTTTGTGGATCTTCGGGGTCTGTGGTTGCTGGACGGATGCATTTGTCATAGATCAAAATAAGACTTTGACCTGTAGGTGGTCGTCGGGTGATTGTCGTTGGGTTTGTAGTAGAAAAGAAACAATTTCACAAACAAAAAAGCCCTTGGACAAATAAAAACTGAAATATTTATATATTTATGACAATAACAGATCAATTTGTCTTAGAATCCTCCCATTAAATGTCACCTCCCTTTGTAAACGGTGTTTCTGTGTCGGAAATCTGTCTTTGTAGAATTCTAGATGTATTTTGCATCAGGTCATCAAAACAAACAAACAAACAAACAAACACAGCCGAAGCGAGTGTTCCACATATTTAATACCGTCGACAGGTTCGGGTTTAAGAAATACAATGATAAAATGTTAATGTTTCTGTATGAAAATATTGATCGTGGGGAAAAAAGATTGTCAAGGATGTTGGAGTCAAGTTAAAGTGTTAAGATGATGAGTTGGTACGAAATGATGAAGTCTTCATTTCACGTGGACCACCTCTTAATCACAGACTGATCAAAGCTCGGGGTCCTCGTCCACTCTCCTCCCTCATGTCCCCTCCTCCCTCTTCTCTCCTCCCCCGTCCCTCCTCCTCTATTAACGGACTAACCGACGACGCTGTGGATGGGTGGTTGTGAAGGGACTAACCCCAAAGAGGAGAGAGGAGAGAGGAGAGAGGAGAGGAGGGGAACAAACGATTCCTCCTTTGTTTTTTAAACACAATTTACTGCAGAGGAGAGGGAGAAAAGAAAAGAGAGGCGGGGGAGAAAAGAGGAGGGGAGGCGTGTGAGGAAGAGTCGGTAACTTTTTCCACGGGCTGTGTCAGTGGTGGAGAAGTGTGGGAAGGAGCAGCAACAGTTTGAAAGTTGCCGTGACTTGGGAACCAGAGAAGCTAACGCTCATCTCTGCTCCGGAGCTCGTTAGGGTTCAGCTTTAACGCCGGGGTTTTTTTAAATGAAGAATAAAGCAACACCATGACTTTGTCTTTTAGGTTTTATTTCTGAGTTTTAAAAAGCAACCGCGGCGGCAGCAGCACAGAGGAGCAAAGAAGCTTAGGAGAAACCGGTTCTCCCTGGTCTCCTGACGCCGCTTTTGTGTTTTTCCTGTTTGACAGAACAGACGTTGAGGAGCTCAGCTCAGCTCAGCAAACACTCAGAGGTACGTTTCTACACTGTATAGATGTGTGTGAGAGAGAGTGTGTGTGTGTGTGAGAGAGAGAGGGTTAAAAGTCCAGTGTCCAGACTGAACCGACTTTTTCTTCAGCGTCCATGTTGATGGATGATTGTTGTGTGATTCAGATGATTCCAGATGCGGTCTGTTCAGAGCCAAACTCTACAGCTGGAAATGTTAGAAAATAACACGTAGTCAAGTCAGACTTGACTCTGGGCTGGGACGATACACGATATAATCGCACATTGCGATAAACACCAAGTCAATTATGATTTTCTGTAGTCAACGCCATAGTGATTAGAGACAGTGCTTAGAGAGTTGATATTTTACCACCAATCTAAATGCAACTAAATACTGATTAGAGACAGTGATTAGAGATTAGAATTGGTATTTTACCACCAATCTAAATGCAACTACTCTGTTGCATTGCTCCCATACGGCACACGTGCCAAACTCAGGCTCGGGGGCCAAACCCGGCCCGCAATATAGTTAGATTTGGCCCGTGACATCATATCAAATGTGTACTAGAGTTTGGTTGTTGGACTCTGAAAAACATATTTACATTATAATATAAAGCTTTGGCTGTTCCAGATTCAATGTTTACACAAAACTACAGTTTGTTTCTATATTTGAGTTAAAGAATTCAGTTATTTTTTCCGAAATGAACCACAGACTCCCTCTAGTGGTTTTATGCGGTTACAGGACATATTGAGTGGCGTTTATCTGCAGTGATGCTCTGATGCTACCTCTGGGTTCTTTACTGTCAGATTTCTTCTGAATGCAGTACTGTCATTGGTGGAGGGGGAATTCTCAGTTCGAGACACCGTGAAATTCGCAGAAATGTGACTTCTTTAATTTTTTTAAACCAAGCCTGTGGTCTTCCTTTGATAAACACCCACATGACCAGGAGAGAATATTTACATTGAGAGACTTTTGTGACACCAATAATGGACGACTTTTGTCCCTCGTTGGACATTATGGAATGTTTCAGTTATGTAAATCAAATACAGATATAGATCTTGATTTATTCAGACTTTGATTTAGTATAATCGTAACAGTTAGCCACTGTGTGTGTATCTGCACCCGCTGCACTTGAGCGACATAATGCAGTTTATCCATGAGCCTTTCAGCACAAAGAGACTGTGATCCAGGATAATAAGAGCTTTATTGTTGTGTACTGAACCAGTCATTCAGTCTAAAGTCCTCCACCACTGAGCTTCCAGTAGCGATGGCGATCACTCCAGGTACAAGTTAGTTATGTAGCTGCTGCGCTCAGCGAAAGTGTAAACGTCTCACAGTGATTCACATCTGCACTGTTTCCACTGCTGCAGCGCTGCCATTAGTGGGAATGGACTTTAAAATGTTTTAGTCACATTTACTATAATGTGATGTGGGAACAGTCCATTATTCTAATGGATTATTCCTTGGTCCCAGTATGACTGTAACTTTGTAGTTTCATGCTTGTTTGAATCAATTTGCCGCGGTAGATTTACCGTTCCTCTAAACAGAGTTGCTCTTATTTGACA